CAGATGTTATCTGGGTATCCTGGACACTGCGTACAATTCGGGCCATAATGATCCTTTGGACAACAACGCTCTGTCTTTTCAATGCAAATATAATCATGTATATCTGGATGAGTATCTTGATGTTTAAACCACCATTCTTCTATCTGACTCTCTAATTCTTCGGCTAAAGATTGGCACTGCACCTGGCCACGCTCGACATCTTTACACAAGTTCTCTTGTATCTCAATCAATCGTATTTCGCTTCTTGAATACGAGCCTAATTTGTCCTCCTCCCAAGCACTATCACCGCCTTCAAACTTTCCACGACTTGTCTTTTCAAAACCCTACAAAATAATTGAAAAGAATTCTAAAATATTTTAAGATTATATATATCTAAATAATATAATACAATTGTATTATGTTTCTTCTGATAGTTTTAACTTACAAAAAAATTTTAATATATAACTTAAATATTTTAAAATTAGGAAACTGTTTACCTTTTTGAAACTATTAATAAGCAGTTTGCATGCTGCGCAGGATGGAAATTTTTGGGATTTAAGATCTTCTTGATCCAACTTTCCTTTCTCGCATTGAATGCTGCTCATGCAAGTCGAGAGGATCACAAAAATGCTAAGAAAAACAATACTGGTCGGCACTCGCATTATAGCGTACCGGCTATCGACACGACTACAATATTTATAAAAAAAAATTACAAAGAGGAAGCACAGAGAGAAATGTCTGTTTTATTCTCGGGGAATAAGAAGCGAACGGACTCTCCCGAACGTTTATTCTATTCCAGACTAGATCATAATTGCTTCGAATAGTCAGAATCGTTTCATTTGGAACATCTGACAGATTGACGTTCAAGGTTAGGCGGACCAGACGACAAAACGTGTCCGCCACATTGCTGGCATGGCCAATCGGAGCGCACCGCGTGCAACTCGTGATGTGTTTCGAAATCCTTGGCTAGTGATACAAACTTGCTCTTTGGACAACCAATCAAATGTATCGAAATGCATCCGTATTTTTAGGGAATTTAATTTTGTAACTAAAATGTAACTGGGATAAAAGTTACAGAAAAATAAAATACAAATCGCATCTACGTTTCATATCGATGACATTATAGTTCGTGGTTATATAGTGACGTGTCTCCTGTCGTGTCAAAAGTTTAAAGAATTTTGAGAGGGTGATGTTTAATTAATTACGTTGTATTGCAGTCAATTAACTAAAATAAGATGTTGACGAAGTTCGAGACGAAGTCTGCTCGAGTGAAGGGCTTGTCCTTCCATCCGAAACGTCCTTGGGTGCTTGCAAGGTAAAGTGACAGGTTTTCTTTAAATTAATTTCTTGGCCATTTGGTGATATTTTACTAATAAAACATTTATCTATTTGAAGAAGCAACGTTTCATCTAAATTACTTACTGTGTTAGAAAATTATTTGATAGATATTAGCATGAATTTGTGATTACATATTGACTGACATAACCTCTTACTTAACGCACAGTATTTTTAATAATTTAAACACAGATACTAATGGAATTGTATAAAAGGGATTAATTTGTGAATTCACAAATTATTTATATCTTACTGCTAAGATGAAGAAGATTTACCTATAATTTATATGGTAATTATTACTTAAAAGATTAATTTTTACACGAATGTAGATTTTGTGGTATTTTATTAGAAATTTTATTATTATAAGTATAATACAAAAAAATAAAATACATATAGACTTATATTTTAATTGAGAAATGTTTCATACATCTTGTATATCTCTTATATTGCAGTATTTGATTTCTCTGTCAGAGGACTTGTTGTTGTACTTGTTAACTCCGTACTATTTACTTTTTTATCTGTAATCTCTTCAACTGATTTCTGAGATGTTATTGGAGACTCAGTAGTTGTAATTTCTTGTCTAATTTTCTCAGATGTGCATTCAAGTTTCTTCGTGGAAGTAGCAGACTGACTTGAAAGTGTTTCTTTGATCGCATCCGTTGTTGATTCTATTACACGGGATTTTACCAAATTAGATTCGGAGCTGGTGCTTATTTGTGAGCTTTTAGTAATATGTGATTGCACAGATGCTTTTGTATTTTCAGTAGTTGTCAATAACTTGGAATTACTATCAGAAACGACTGTTGCTGCTTGATAAAATAGTGGCACAGTAGGATTATAAAAATCAAAATTATTTAAAGGCAGTTCTAAGTTAGCATAGGGATTGTAAGGATAATATTGGCTCTGTATTATGTTTGATATTTGATATCTTGAAAACTCTGGAAGATGTAAGTTTAGTAAATTTTCTCTAAATGCGGGATAAGGTACATCTACAAGAGAAACTTGTTGAAGATTCGGTTGATATTCAATAAGATTATTTGCTTCAGGATTTTTTGAAAATTTCTTTTTTTCGTTCAGAACTTTAATATTTGAGTCAAGAGCTTGTTTGCTTTTACTTTCTTCAGCTTGTATGGATTCAGATTGCTTTGGAGATGTTATATTCTTTTGGCCTTTATCTTTTTGTGAATATTCTTCTGATATTTTTATTGAGTTTATTTCATTCTTTAATCTGCTCATAGAATCGACACCAGTTGTAAAAACAACATTACTTCCACTATTAAAATCTTGAGTTGCATAGGAATATCCACTGAAAGTAGGATTAGGTTCAGATGTATATATCAATTTTGGCGTACTGGGAAACGCTAGCTGAATGTTCTGATATGGAACAGAGTATGTTTTCACTGACGTTAAACTTAACAAAAGCTGAAAAAGTAAAAAAAATTCTTTTTCCTTTGATATAAAATTATAGATTATATTATTAATTAATTACTGGTACAAAATTAATATATTTGTGATTCATAATACATGCACAAAGCTTTAAATTCATAAAAAAATTAAAAATAAAATTCTTAAATGTCACTACGGGCACAATATACTGCGATATGACATACCCATCCAATTTCATTGCTTATATTTTTCATAGAAGTGAACATATTGGAAATATGTTTTTCTTTCGAAATGCCAGACATTAAGGAATATAATAGTATTAAACAAGCGTATGTATCTTTCTTAATAAAAAAGTTGGAAACAATAGAAAAAGCATAAAAAAATCGAGTTTGTCATATCAAAAAGGCGTTTAAGAATTAAAATAAATATCAGACATTTTGAAGTATTGTATATAAATTTTTCATTTAAATGCATACTTACAACAGCAGTGGTATAAAACCGGAAAAGCACCATTGTCAAAGTTTTTTATTTTACAAAAGGATGTAACCCTAATGAAATTAAAAAGTGAACTACCAAGTATGTAATGATGTGATCTCTATATACACGACTTCAACGTGCTTCAACGTCCCCACCACTCTCTCGCGTACACCTCTGTTTCTGGTGACCTGATTCCATTAAAATGTCCTGAGGGGATGTGGGTCCTGTCTCTCAATTATCGTTGAATTCGTTGAAATGTAGTGCATGCAGATCGAATTTCGGATAATTTTATCGCATACATCTTGGTGGATACGCATTATGCATTGCATAAGGATATATCGTCTAGTTCAAAAGAATAAAGTATTCTTATAAATATTGGTATAGTAGATTTATCAAGTTACTAAAAAGTTATGTATAATTTTACGTAATGTCTTTACTTTTTAATAATAAAAGTAATAGTAATAATAATGATATATAATTCCAAAATATTTTATAATTAATAATAATAAAATTACA